GTTCTCTGACTCTGGTTCCTAGCTCACGGTCTGTCTCGCCGATGTAGACCACAGGATCACCGTCAACTTGGCAGGAGCACTCGATCTTGTAGACCACGTTGCTCTCCTGCAGCTTCGGCAAGTGGTGCTTGGCTTTACTGCAGAGCAATGATCCGATGGTCAGCGACGGCTTGGAGACCAGCTGGATGCCGATCTTGCTGGCTTCCCGCTTGAGCTGGTAAAAACAGGAGCCAGCGAACGGGACTGACACTCTGACAGGCGCAGCTGGTGAGGTCGAGCTTGGTGGTGACGGTAGAGCCCTGGCCTTCAGTCTGAGATCCGCTTGCGTTTTCTGGATGGTGGACTCGATGAATGGGAGCGGGTAGCCATGCTGACGGAACTTGCGGCGTATGAAGTCGAACTCCTGCTGGCGGGTTTTGATGGTCGTGCAGTAGCGGATGGCTCGAATGCAGTCCGATCTGATGGCCGACCTGAGGTAGCGGGTCTCGGTGTATGATGAGAATGCCGGTACTTGATCAGTGCTGCATGCTTTCCGGTAGACCTTAGTGCTGAATCGGTCTTCCTTTCTTGTTATGAGGATGTCGAGGTAGGGCAGCTGTCGGTCAACTTCAATGTCAGTGGTGACCTTGATGTTAGGGTTCTTGCCGTTGAGCAGGTTCACCCACGCACTGAGAGTGTCATCGCTGCCCTCGAACAACACTAAGTAGTCGTCCGCATACCTGCAGAATGACTGGACTCTGCCTCCGCAGCTGGCTGCCAAGAGCTCCAGATCGAGTTCCCAGTGACCCATATATAGGTCAGCGACAACTGGAGAATAACTCTTGCCCATGGCTAGGCCTGCTGTCTGCCTGAACCATCTCTCCTTGTCACCATCTTGGACCACAGCATGACAGTTCTGGATGGATAGGCTCAGAAGGTCAGCGACTGCGTCCGGTTTTAGACAGGTGACATCCGAGAGGGCATCTCGGTTGTCTTGCAGCAGAGTCCGAATGAGTGCGATGGCCTCCTGAGTCGGTATGGATGGAAACATCGCCTCCACATCCAGAGAGATGAGCCGGCAGCTGTTGGTGGAATGGTCCATGTTCTGCAGCATGTCCAAGACTTGCAGCGGAGAGCTGATGGAGTGCGGCGGCCGCGGGAGAACCTTCAAGCATGCAGTGAGATGTTTGGTGAGCTCATAGTCTGCACCGCTGTGGGCTGGGCAGATGGGCCGGAGCTTCAGGTTGGCGATCCAGTGGAGTCTTTCCTCTTCGGTGGTGGGCGGAGCCGTGTATTTATGTGTTTTGACGAGGCCATAAAACGGACCGCAGCGACCATGCGTTTTGGAGAGGCGTCGGTAGAGCTGGTACCCCTCTGCGTCGTTCTCCTTCAGCATTTTGTCGCGACGTCTTCCACGCACCGCAGGACCAGCCAGTGCAGTGAGCAGGTGCTCATTAAACCGGCCGGAAAAGACTTCCGCTGGATCGCTGGTCACTTCCTCATACACAGGTGACTGCAGTGAACGGAGCAGCGCAGCTGTATAGTCGGTCTTGTTGATCACAACCAGAGCCTTGGCCTTGTCAGCTGGCACGATCACCCTGGTGTTGTCTCTGGTCAGTGACTTCAATGAGTCAGTGAGGTCCTTTGGAGGCTTCGGCTGTGGTCGGTTGTTGGTACGCGTCAGAATTGTCTCGGCTTTGTTGAGAAAGGTTGTGATGTCATCACCGGTGATGCCTCGCTGGTCAGCTTGTTTGATGGCGATGTCAGAGGCCATCTGGCTCTTCACGGCTAGCTCCAAGACAGGTGGTTTTTGAGGAGCTATCGAGTACTTCGCTCCAAGCTGTAGTGCGAGTGTATCTTCTCTGGAGAGTCGCTGGCTTGTGAGGTTGATCACTGTCACCCTTGTTGTACTGGGGCGTGTTCGGGATTCGGCATTCGGGATTTCTACGCAACTGCAGAGATCAAGGACTTATCCCTCGCGGATTGAGGCTAAACATCAAGCCCTCCAGTGAACGGGAAACCAGATGGAAGAGGAAATCAGAGGAAAGTCGACTTCGCCTGGCATTCAATGAAGCGAGGTCAGAAACGCACCGAACTAAAGCCCGTCTCCAAGGCATCAAAACCAGCCTGCAACGGCGCGGTGTCTCTGAAACTGAGATGAATGTCCTCGAACGCAAGGCTCAGAGAATTTACCAGCATGAATTGAGAAAGGCTGAGACAACCAAGGCTAAGAAATTCCACGACCTGCTAAGCGAGAATGGTGGATTGACCTTCACCAACAGGAATCCAACACGCCCCAGTACAACAAGGGTGACAGTGATCAACCTCACAAGCCAGCGACTCTCCAGAGAAGATACACTCGCACTACAGCTTGGAGCGAAGTACTCGATAGCTCCTCAAAAACCACCTGTCTTGGAGCTAGCCGTGAAGAGCCAGATGGCCTCTGACATCGCCATCAAACAAGCTGACCAGCGAGGCATCACCGGTGATGACATCACAACCTTTCTCAACAAAGCCGAGACAATTCTGACGCGTACCAACAACCGACCACAGCCGAAGCCTCCAAAGGACCTCACTGACTCATTGAAGTCACTGACCAGAGACAACACCAGGGTGATCGTGCCAGCTGACAAGGCCAAGGCTCTGGTTGTGATCAACAAGACCGACTATACAGCTGCGCTGCTCCGTTCACTGCAGTCACCTGTGTATGAGGAAGTGACCAGCGATCCAGCGGAAGTCTTTTCCGGCCGGTTTAATGAGCACCTGCTCACTGCACTGGCTGGTCCTGCGGTGCGTGGAAGACGTCGCGACAAAATGCTGAAGGAGAACGACGCAGAGGGGTACCAGCTCTACCGACGCCTCTCCAAAACGCATGGTCGCTGCGGTCCGTTTTATGGCCTCGTCAAAACACATAAATACACGGCTCCGCCCACCACCGAAGAGGAAAGACTCCACTGGATCGCCAACCTGAAGCTCCGGCCCATCTGCCCAGCCCACCGCGGTGCAGACTATGAGCTCACCAAACATCTCACTGCATGCTTGAAGGTTCTCCCGCGGCCGCCGCACTCCATCAGCTCTCCGCTGCAAGTCTTGGACATGCTGCAGAACATGGACCATTCCACCAACAGCTGCCGGCTCATCTCTCTGGATGTGGAGGCGATGTTTCCATCCATACCGACTCAGGAGGCCATCGCACTCATTCGGACTCTGCTGCAAGACAACCGAGATGCCCTCTCGGATGTCACCTGTCTAAAACCGGACGCAGTCGCTGACCTTCTGAGCCTATCCATCCAGAACTGTCATGCTGTGGTCCAAGATGGTGACAAGGAGAGATGGTTCAGGCAGACAGCAGGCCTAGCCATGGGCAAGAGTTATTCTCCAGTTGTCGCTGACCTATATATGGGTCACTGGGAACTCGATCTGGAGCTCTTGGCAGCCAGCTGCGGAGGCAGAGTCCAGTCATTCTGCAGGTATGCGGACGACTACTTAGTGTTGTTCGAGGGCAGCGATGACACTCTCAGTGCGTGGGTGAACCTGCTCAACGGCAAGAACCCTAACATCAAGGTCACCACTGACATTGAAGTTGACCGACAGCTGCCCTACCTCGACATCCTCATAACAAGAAAGGAAGACCGATTCAGCACTAAGGTCTACCGGAAAGCATGCAGCACTGATCAAGTACCGGCATTCTCATCATACACCGAGACCCGCTACCTCAGGTCGGCCATCAGATCGGACTGCATTCGAGCCATCCGCTACTGCACGACCATCAAAACCCGCCAGCAGGAGTTCGACTTCATACGCCGCAAGTTCCGTCAGCATGGCTACCCGCTCCCATTCATCGAGTCCACCATCCAGAAAACGCAAGCGGATCTCAGACTGAAGGCCAGGGCTCTACCGTCACCACCAAGCTCGACCTCACCAGCTGCGCCTGTCAGAGTGTCAGTCCCGTTCGCTGGCTCCTGTTTTTACCAGCTCAAGCGGGAAGCCAGCAAGATCGGCATCCAGCTGGTCTCCAAGCCGTCGCTGACCATCGGATCATTGCTCTGCAGTAAAGCCAAGCACCACTTGCCGACGCTGCAGGAGCAACGTGGTCTACAAGATCGAGTGCTCCTGCCAAGTTGACGGTGATCCTGTGGTCTACATCGGCGAGACAGACCGTGAGCTAGGAACCAGAGTCAGAGAACACCGGGAGAGCTGGACTGGAGCTGTTCGCTCGAGAGCCAACGCATCGGCCTTCAGTGCTCACAGGGATTGTTCACCTGCCTTCGATGAGGTCAAGGTACTAAATCGAGCCAACCACTACCAGATGCGACTGCTGCTCGAGTCGGCGTACATCCGGACTGTGGAACGGCGGGAGGCCGTCTTGGTGTCGCCTAATGATGCGAATGTGAACAGAAACTCAGGTGCGCTGCTGCAAGACCGCTGGCTGCCAATAATTCGTCGTGTTTGCCAGTAGTTTTATAGTGTTTTTAAACATTTATATCGTGTGATAGTGTTTTTTATATTGATCTCTTTACACTTTTGTACCCCACCTGCTTTAGCATCTTTGTAGTTTTTAACTTTTGTGGTATTTATAGGTATGTATAACGTTTTATATTTCTGTACCGAGATAGTATGTATTGATTTCTATATTTTTTAGGATTTTATTAGTGTGGTATGCGTTCTTGTTTTTTGGTAGACCTTCTCATTGAGTGTACTCTTATTGTCGTCACGTGTTTCAGTCTTGCTTACTTTATAATTCAAGCGGCCTAAATAACTCTGCGCAGCCGCAGCTCACCGACATCTTGTGCGATTCGATTCGACCCGAACGTTTTATTTTCGCCCCGATTACCGACCTTCGCTGAAGAGGACATGTAATACATGTCGAAAGCTCCGACCGAAAACGATTCTCTTGTGGAGTAAGTCCAATTTATTCCTATAATATCTAACATGAAGTGTATATAAACTTAGCAAACTTTTTCTATTTGGTGGCCACCACTCTATGCTACATTTGCTGTATTTTGTATTTGCTGCGCAGGATTTGTCGATATGGCGGATTGGCAACCCCGCAACTTGCCCGCAACCCCTATGGCTCAATTCACTCAATATACCCTGCCCCTATGGCCCCTATGTGATGTAAACGCCGCTAGTGTTTACGGCTTTGGCCTTGCCATCTGGGTACATGTTACGTTGGATGAAGAGGTAAGAAGAAATGACAGAATATGTACCGTAAAGTGGGGCTATTTGAAATGGATTTTACAGTTTTTTGCCTCTCCCTTAAAAGGAAATAGTTCACTGTTAACATGGGGTTTTGAACTGCAATAACAGTTTTGTAGCTTGAGGTGAGACTAGCACAAATCAGAAGCTTCTGCGGCTCAACGATCACCCTACTAGACCAGTGGCCGGCAGGTCCTTCGGGGTCATGCCCCCTTTTTCGCGTAAGGCAGGGTCATTACCCCCACCTACCAGACCCCATTGCTGACACCGAAGTTTACCTTACCTTACCTTACCTCACCTACATTTATCGGGATTTAGAAAGGCACTATGCCTGAAGGTCCCGATCTCGTAGAGTAGGTTCTGGGCCCTGTTTCACTGGTGATAGCAGCACGCTACTATCAAATTGCGCAAGCTGACGTAATGTGATGACCTCACACTAATGACGTTTCGTGTAATCCGTGAGCTTTTTCATAGCTATGTTTGGAACAGAGTTGCTGTCTCGTTGAATGCGTTTGATACATTCGCACGCCCGTGAAGATGTTAGCAGCAATATTTGATGACATCACACAGTTTGACGACGCCATGGTTTAAACCCAATTTGACACGTGTGATAGCGGCGTGCTGCTATCACCGGTGAAACAGGGCCCTGGATAAACTAGGTTAAATCTTGGGTTGGCTCTGAGTAATGGATGGTCTGCCAGTGCTGGTCGAGTCGGGATTTGAACTGGGTTAAGGCTGCCCCACTGGAACTCGCATGCGGGTTGCGAGTTGGCGGGTTTTGAGTTTGCGGGCATACTACTAATTCATAGATGATTAGACCGCTCACTTGTAATTTCATGAATGCAGTGAAGCCGGTACACCTTCAGAAACTTATATAGTCGCAATGCCAGTGCAACAAACCAAAATTCGACTCCAATGAAAAACCCGCAAACCTCGCAGAACTCGCAGACCTCGCAGTGAGGAAAATTGAAAGTTGACTCAAAATCAACTTTTGAAATGCGATGCAAGGTCGCTCGCAAGCTAAAAACATGCAGACTCGCTTGTTAGATGGTAGTGTGGGCCATTCAGCTTAGATTGTATGATTTGATTTTTAAGAAACCTCAGCTCTGTTCGCTCGCTGTTTTTATATCAGCGTGCTGTCGGTTTTCCTCATATAAGGAAGATATTGCTGGCGCGGCTTGGCCTCTCATTGGTCTAGCGAATAGACCACTTGAATTCGACCAATGAGGAGCCAAGAAGTAGCAGCATGGTCGCAGCCTGCTGATAAATAAACGGGGTGCGAACAGAGCTCAGAAAACCCAAAAACTCGCAACCCGCATGCGAGGTCCAGACTCCAGTGTGGGGTGGCCTTTAGGGTCTCGGCGAGGACCACATGACGAGGAAGGGCGTTCCAGTCATTGATGGCCCGTACGCAGAGTGCGTTCCTCCGCGCACGAGACGCTGCTTGAGGTTTCGCCAGCTTCCAGCCGTGCCCTCGAGTTGTCGTCATTGAGCTCCTCGCCAAAAAGTCATTACCTAAATTCCATTCCTTCCCGAATCCTGTTCTATAATTCCATAATTCCATACCTTCTTAGAGGCCCTCATTACCCCTCCCCCATCGAAGGGCTCCACTATCCCCAAAGGGGGCATACCCCACCATTTGCCGAACCCTGCCCTAGACGAAGATATTCCATTTCTCGTCCTGAAAACAGTGCCTTGCTGAGGAATGCAGCCACGTCAACCAATCAGCATGCTTCTTACAGCTAATGGGTTTGTACAATGCAATCCCTCTGGCAAAAATTGTTTTGGCAAAGACTTATATGTCCTCTTTATATTCAATCTTTTCCTTTTTGTAGGACACCTCATTTTGGTACCTAGGTTATAGAATTGCACTACTATACCTATGCTAAGACTATCATAATATACTTCTCTAAACTTTCAAAATGACAGGAGCTCTCCCAGCCAGCATTATTACCTTAGCCCCACATGGGCCCAAGGTGGGCCACTTGGTGGGGCCCACATAAATTTGTCCCTGGGAAAATGGTGGGACCCACCTGGGCTGGCCCACATGGGCTCAAGGTGGGTACCATATGCAAGAGTGGAAAAGTTACCCCGGCCGCGCCGGGGTAGACTGAAAGTTATCCCAGCCACGGCCGCCGGGGCAGGTTCTCCACCCATGACCATATGGGGCCCACGTGGGCCCCATATGGCTGCCCACATCCAGCCCACCTAAACCCCACTACATGGGCTGCCCACGCAGTGCCCTTACCCCACCATACAGGAACACCGCGTGAATGCTTGCAAAAATATATGTTCACCAAAATTCCTGGGTATGCCCTCGTATATGGTGCAGACAATCTCATTTCCAAGCACTGCACTATGCATGTCAAAAAATACATGGGCAGCCCATGTGGGGGCTGGGGCCCACATGCAGCCCACATATCTGTCCATCTCTAGCCCATTGCCCACCTAGCCCACCATGCCCATCAACTGCCCATGTGGGGCCCATATGGGCATGTTGGCTGGGCTGTTCGCCCCCCGTTTATTTATCAGCAGGCTGCGAGCATGCTGCTACTTCTTGGCTCCTCATTGGTCGAATTCAAGTGGTCTAGGTATTCGTTAGACCAATGAGAGGCCAAGAAGCGCCAGCAATAACTTCCTTATATGGGAAAAACCGACAGCACGCTGATATAAAAACAGCCACCGAACAGGGCCAGGATGATCATCAAGGACTCATGGATCATGAAGTCAATGACAGTAACATTTTGAAACTAAGTTGTTGTACCTATATGGGTCATTCCACGTCAAATTGATCAGAATTTGGTACTTTTGACCCCCACCCCTTTCAATTTCGATGAAATTTGCTAGGTTCGAAGTGCCGATGGAAGGTAATCTATTCAGCAGGTTTTAGTCCTGGGTGACCTCTGAGGTCAAAGTTATGGGTCATGAAAGGTCAACGGTTTTTGCCGACATTGCGGGATTTAAAGGTAGTGTGCCAGCTTTCCTGGACCGTATGGAGTTAATGGCCCAGATAAGGAGAACCGGATTTTTAGAACTTATCGATACCTTCAAAACTCATGGAAACGTCTTAAATTCTTCAAATTTTGAGTACCCCAGTGCGAAATTCGCCCCGACGGGTTGTCGGTCGTACCCCAACCACATTTCACACCACTATGAACAATAAATGCACACACTGAAATCGCTATTACCGATATGCTCATCCAATCAAGTTTCGATAAACCCGTTCATCATCATCTCCTGCGGTTTCGAACACGCCTGTTAGGTGGTTGCGGTAGACCGCGCCCAAAGCCAGGGCCCCGGTAACGTGAGGTAGCCGAGTCGGGGCAGCGTGCGCTGACCCAAGCCGGGGCCGCGCGTCCTCCCGGTGTCATGTGATAGCCCGGGGCTGCCCGCGGGGATGCGGTAGACCGCGCCCAAAGCTGCGGCCCCGGCTTGGGTCAGCGCACGCTGCCCCGACTCGGCTACCTCACGTTACCGGGGCCCTGGCTTTGGGCGCGGCTTCTGCTCATACTTTGTGGTGCGGTGGTGGTGCGTCGGGCCGCGCGCTCTGACTTCGGCCAAGAAAAATGCGTCAGCTGATCATTGTCATTTCTGCCACTTGCGTGTGGTGAAATGGGGTCATAACTTAAGATACGGCTTTTTCATATCAATTATTTTACATAAAATCATATTTCAAACCATAAATAATGTTCGACAGCCAATTAAAGAAACAATACCAATACAGGCTTACAGTTTAAGGCTCGACATTGTGTTGTCTACGATTAGACAGCTGATAACTCATTCCCGTACGTCGTAACTCTATAATGACCTTTGCTTATTGTCACTATAATGACCTTTGCTTATTGTCACATGTGCGCCGCATTCGCGATTGTTGCCGACGCCTGTTTGCAGCTCAGCCCACTACAGTTGTTATACATATCGAAAAACCGATAAACTTTTAGGCGAAAAAGGCACTATTCCAGGCCCATTTTTGATTTTTTTTTTGCGATATTAGGTAAAAACAGAAGCTTCTTATCCTAGGAAAAATAAAATGGGAAATCTTTCAAAGGTGGCACACTACCTTTAAATGCCCATTGCTCTGTAATTAACCCGCGCCCCGTAGGGCTACCGGCGGACCCTACCAATATACCCTGGACCCTACCACCCGTTTCGGCTCCCCCCTAAGATCTCGGAAATTTACCGGCCGATTTTCAAAATTAAAACGGCGTTCGATAGCCCCATCCGGGAACTACCTACCTTGTGACCAAATTTCATTGACCTAGGTCAAACCGATGACGTCACAGGTCAGGTCAAAGGTCAGATTTTCACCGTTCCCAGGCATTTCAAGAAATGTGTTGTGAAATCGAGTAAATTGGTAATTTATTGAAAACCATCGATGGTACATTGTTCGTCAAACACATACTTTGCTATCTGAGGTCACTGATACCAGGTCAGGTCACAGCGAGGTCAGGTCACCGGGGGTCACAATATGAAAGTGCCGTGTGATGCATGTTTTATGGTCCATTTTACATGACAAATGCGATTATGTGGGTTAGGCAGCCTTTGGGGTCAGCATAGGTCACGTTTTGGTGAAGGTCAGGTCAAGGTCAGGTCAAATTAGGTCAAATTTCAAAGTTGATATTTTTGGATAAAATGGGTATCGATTCGATGCAGATCGTCACGGCGAGTCTAATGGTGGTCTTTGTTTTGCTCTACGAGGTTTAGAATTGCCAAAAATTGAGTTTGAAAATTTGACGTCATCATTTTTGAACAGTCTTTTCGCTATAACTTAGCCAAAAAATGAGGTATCGATCTGAAATTTGGTATGTAGATAGAAGACCGTAGGTACTATCACATATATTCCGTTTTTTCGAAACTCAAAAAACTTTTTTGATTTTTTGGCTAGTATATAAAAAAAGCTTTTAGAATTTTTGGGGTCCAAACTCAAAAATTTCAAAAATCCGATATAGTAGTTTTGTAGCCCTGTCAATTCTACACCTTTTATG